GACCGGTAAGGGGAGCACAACCCTTGGTGTGGTGTCACCCGCACCGTGCTCAGCCAGCGAGCGCACTGGCCATTCCTATATAGGATCCGAACCCTCGGCGGGAGCGCCGCCACGCTTCCCAAGTGGCGCACTATAGCAGTGCACCACCGGGCTGGCCCTTTTTTTCATTTTAATAGTATATTTTTACAATAAAAAAACAAGGAATCATCAGAAGTGCTAAAAGGTGAGGTGGGAACCTTCAAACCATGCCAAGGTACCAGCTCATATCAATTTCAGGCTGTGATCTCAGCAGCTTAGCACAACATGCCAGATCATCTGAGGAGACTCAGGCAGTATCTACTGAAGAGTGTTTCTGAACTCTGTGTTTTACTGACTGGGGCTAGGGGTGCATTGGGGATTTATCCCAGAATCAATACTATGCTGACTTTGGACTGAGAAAAAATCATTACATTCTAAAACCCCAACATGCTTACCAACAATTCTTTCCAACCTCCTCAAAGATCTCCTAAATAGGAACATAGTTCTTCCTAAACAAGGGCCTACAACAATCAAGAATGCCACCAACCTCCACTCAGAAACAGCGGGAGCTTGGTCAGAGCAAAAGCACACTACTCGGCTCCTGGGGTAAGCCCAGGCACCCGCCCTCTGAGGATGCTCCCCAGGCAATTCTGACACAGGTAATCCTTTGCATTCTGCTAAATTCAGCACAGCATTTAGCTGAATGAGCTGACCCTGAGGCTCCCGTCTAGGCCTTTTCCTGTGTAAACACAACTGTGAGGGGCACATAAAAGTGGATTTTAGAGAAATCCTCTAGGCCTTTTCCTGTGTAAACACAACTGTGAGGGGCACATAAAAGTGGATTTTAGAGAAAGTGGCATACAAACCCAGTTGGCCAAAAGCTACAGCCTCAGAAGGAAAAGTATATAAAATTGACTTATAGACATCAAGTAGCTCCCAAACTTGACAGTGCATCAGAACCACCTGGAAAAGCTCCTTACAAGTACTGCCCAGTAGCCCCCGCTAGACTTCCTAAATGAGCAGCTCCAGTGGCGGGATCCTGGTGATTCTGCAGGACCAGTCTGTGGGCTGGGACACTTTGCTGGGACGCTTTTGTACTTCCTTGGTAACGTTTCTCTCCTCATTACCAAGGAAGCACAGACTGTTAAGGCAGCAACTTGTACAAAACCAGCTGGCAAATGGAGTTAGAAATAAGAGCCTCAGTGTATGGGTTGAAGTCAAATGATAAATGCTAACCCTAGTCCTGCCATCAAGAGGAGACAAAATCTTTGAAGTTCCTCCTCTCACTCAGGATGGAACCTGATCTATGTGCCACAGCCTGCCCAAGCAGGGCTGACCACTGCTGGAGAAAGGGGTGAGAGTTGGTGACATTTTTTGTTTTACTGCCTCAAGGCTGGCAGATAGCTGGCACAAATGCTGCTAGCTCACCCAGTGCCCATGACACACTTCACTGAGGGGCTGTGGCACTCTTTCCCAAAGAACCAAACAGGGCCTCGACTTGCCCCTGAATAGATTACCATTCCCCAGAGATCAGGACTGGCAGGCGAGGTGAAGTCCAGGTGCCCTCCCTGTCCCAACATGGACAGCTTAGAAACTGGGCCTCTTTGCAGGGCTACCACACCCACCTCCAAGGCAATCCAAATAGACTCCTGAGGAAATAATGTGCCTCCAAAGCAAAGCAAGTTCTCTCCTGCTCAATTTTGGGGGCAAGTGTGGAAAGATTTTAACCTGCATCATAAGGTCCATCGACATATGTGAGCTACCTTACAGACAAAGCCCTGCACTGGGTGGACTTCCTCCACAAAGTCTTCCACACATGCCTCAGTCTGAACTCATTATGCCCCTCACACTTGCCTACGTCCTGTTTGGGCCCACACCCGCTAACAGACTGCAAGTCTTTGCTGGAAGCTTCAAAGCCAGTCCTAGAAAGCAGACACACATGCTTGCCGTGGAAGCAAAGACAAAGCAACAGGAGTTGACCTCACATCTCCACAGGGCAGTGAATCCACAACAGTGAGGTAACAAGGACTGGGGACAGGTACTGGTGATATTTATCACCCTGAAGGGGAGAGGTCCAAGGAGACATTTAGTCTTCTGGGCCACTCTGGGTTATCCCGGCCATATGGTCTGGACTAGGTAAGTGGTACATAGGTGCTTACTAGGGACACATATCACTGAAACACCAAATGTGTGCTAGCTCTATTAAGTCTTTATTTGGCTCCTGGAGCTCCAAAGCCAGAAATTTCTAAAGCCAGCAGTATATTTTCAGAGCTACACCTCACAACTGAGAGCCTTACCCTAATGGAAACTCTGGTAGCACAAAATTAAAATTAAAAAATACTGTATGTTTTATAAAACCTGCATACCACTGACATGAATAAAAACCGACAGAACATTTACTTCTAAGCAGTGGCTTGTCCATCCTGTATGTTAACAGAGAGAGGTTGACCACCAACAAGGAGCCAGTCTCCACATGTAATTAGGTTGCACAAAAGGTAGCAGGACAAACGTGTGGGAAGGGAAATCACACACCCAGTTTAAAAAATGGTTAAAACTCCACTGACTGAGCTGAGGTCTTGGACAAATCAGAGAAAGTAGGATACCAAGTGCTATTGCCTAGTTCCAAAAAATGTTAGGCTGTATAGGAAATTCCCACTGAGTATCAGCTAAAACAAAGATACCTAATTAGGATGGACCTAGAGCTAATGTAAGGCCTATGACTCTCAAGCTGAGGGAATAAAGGGGAGAGATTCTAGGAGTTGTCCACTCTCACTTCCCAAGTTTAAAAAGAGCACTGCAATTAACAGACTATGACCAATACATATTTGTTAAGTGCAGTAAAGGGTGCCTAGCCTGGGTATATATTCCTAAATTCTAACCACTAAGAAACACTCATTTTCTAGGTTGTAAACTATATGGCTTTATTCTGATCATCTGTCATCAAACCACTGCTAAGATAAGCTATCCTAAAGGTCTTTTTCTTCACTCAAAGAAATGCCATTACCATTTCTATCAATCTACAAAGATCAGCAACAAGAAGTAACAAAGCACAGAGTGACTGAGAGTTCTAACATGTTCTTAATATGTTTCTCAATCCTAAGCATTTTATTTTCTTTTAACACCCCCCAATCTGAAGAGCACCAAAGGAAAAGTAATATAAGCATTTCAATGTGGATATCTGCAGTTTAACAGCCTTAATAACTGCAGCTATAAAATTTTAAGAGCTATCATATTTTGGTGGCAATTAGAGTTATTGATATTTCTGAAATTCATTTGAGATTTTAGTGTAACTTTAGCAAAAACCTGGCTTATGATATGGTTTTGGAAGTAATAAATTGTTTCACAGTCTTAACATTATTAAGAGAAACTTATTGCCATGAAATTAAACTAAAACAATATTTAAAATTCAATCAAAATAAATTGCTCTTGATCAAAATACTGATACACTTAAAATATATTTAATATTGACCCAATTTGATGGGAAGAATATATATTGCTCCATTTATAATCAATACGTTGAGATGAACACTTTTATTAATTCTCTGCAGTAGTTAAGAAAGACTGATGCTGCTCATTGTTCAAGAGTATGTGCGACATTCCTCAAACGCCTTCACAGATGTGCACAGTGACTAAAGCTGCAGTGAGCAATAAGAAACATAAACCACTCTTTAACTATGTATTACTATGTAAGGTGCTACCAGCATGTGAGTACAATAGCTCTGAAGACTTGGATTTAAGTCACAGGTCCTCAGATTATTTTTTAAAAGAACTATGCCACATCTACTCTGAAAAGGTTCTGGAATGTTTATGGCAGTCTGGACATGGGTCAGAGGCAGTTCTAAATATCAGAAAAAAAAATATCAAGACAACCTTCATTTGTGAAGGCCAGTGGAAAGCTACAATGAATACAATAAACTAGGTTTCCTCATGTTGAGAAGAAAAAACTGTTGAGGATTGAGAAAAAGCTATCCCAATATTAAATATTTAAAAAGTAATGAGATTCCTTTCTTCCCTTTGATGGCCTTGGAGCTCCTAGAGAGTCAATGCAGGAGACTTAAGAAGCAGCTCAGTTAGTGCTCAGCAGGACATGGAGGAGGCCTGCATGTACAGATCATTTTTCCTGGCTTGCAGAAAACATGGTGATACTCAATTCTGACTTCATGTTACCTGCATGTTCACCTTCCCTTTTATCTCCCTCGCATCATAGTCTGACAAACTCATGGAGATAAAAGCCAAAGTCAGTCTCCAGCAAAAAAAAAAAAAAAAAATGCCAGTGAAAAGGAAGGTATGCTACGCACACAAAGTATGCTTTTAGCATGACAGTGGTTTCTAATTCTGTAGGTGACTATTTCCTCAAGACAAGGAAGGAGGGATTTAAGAAAGCAAGCTTACGCTTTCACATGCCAAAGCTTAAGTTTCAGCTCTTTTTGAGGGAAAATTTTCTAAAATTACTTTCCTGCTTTAAAAGGAAAAACAAAAATGAAAACCCCCACCCAGCAAAGAGTACCTAACTGTACCTCTTCCTTTTCCTTACCCTCACTCCAGGGGGACCACTCAGCGTAAAGGCTGCCTCAGCTCACGTTTCAGTTCTCTGCTGCCTCTTGCCCTAGCCCTTTCCTTAAGCTTTTCATCTTAGTCTTGTCTCCAAATCTGAGAAAAGACCTGGAAGTACAAGCATTTAGGGCCAGCTCCACTGAGGACTCAGGAGCTTCACTGTTGCCGACAGGCTAAGTCTGTAGGAAGTCCAACTAAATCTGAGAAAAGACCTGGAAGTACAAGCATTTAGGGCCAGCTCCACTGAGGACTCAGGAGTTTCACTGTTGCCGACAGGCTAAGTCTGTAGGAAGTCCAACTTCTGCATCTAATATATTAAATTGCATCTAGAATGCTTACGTATTAATAAGCTTGCCACCTAAGATAAAGCAGTCAGTCAATCTGATCACAACCACTGCAGACTGACCTTAACCGCTGCTTATAACAATCTTCATCTCCATCGTCTCGGCACCTCACTACTTTCCGACCTCCTCCTCCTGTGGCTTCAGCTTCTTCCCCTGAACTTGGGAAAAAGTCATCATCAATCTCCTGCACTGGGATCTTCTTCTGCCATTTCCGGCCCTTGAGCACAGGCCTCAGTTCATAATCAGTGCCATCTGCAGACAGGCCTGCCCCCACCTGATCGGCCTCGTCCTCATCTTCATCCTCCTCTGGGGGGAGGTACTCAGACCCTCCACTCTCAGAGTCTGCCTCTGCCTTGGTCCTCACATCAGACTCCAGGGGCTTCCTCCCCTTGGGCAATCCCACTTTCCCCTGGAACTGCAGAGCCCTCTTCTGGAGCTTCCTGATGTGCTTCTTCAAGCGCTTATCTGTTTTCAAGAGAACTTTGTTTTTCTTGTTTGATTCATTTCCATTTTGTGTTGAGGGGCTCAACTTAGACATGATGGAGGCTGGAGCTCTTCTAGTTGCTCTTTTATTACAAGCTTGTTTCTTCCTTTCAAAAGACAGTTTTGCTTGATCTGCCAAATACTTTTCAAAGCCTGATGCTTCATTGAGCATTATTTTTCTAGGCTTTTTCTCCTGTTTCTGAGGGATCTGGGTACCAAAAGGTGTCATCTGGCCAGTGCGGATGAGCTCTTCCCAGGCAGTCTCCTGGACAGGCATAAGCATGCTGCCGAGACAGGATGGCCCCGGTTCTGAAAGGGTAACAATATCGCACTCAGCACATAAAACTTTCCAAGAGTATAACAGAAACATTCACTTATTCAATAAACAGTAGGCACCTACAAATAACTCATAACAAACATGTGAAGTATATTATATATGAAGAATAGAGTAAAATTTATTATAGCATTTATTATGCCTCATTTAATATATTCCTATTCAAAAAGGTGATTTCTCAGTAACTTTTCTCCAAAATATCACATTATAAATATACTCTCTATGCATCCAAAGACAGACCTATTCCTATATAAATTAGTTATACATTAATTTAGCTGTTTCCTTATCAACTGAGGAGCAGCCCATGAGGAAGCAATCTTCCAAGTTTCCATGTCATTGCTACTAATAACATTCAGATGAACTTAAATTCAAGAGACAGTAAAACTGAAAATAGACATCTAAGGGATCAGCATGTACCTAAATGGGAAAATAGATGTCTTCTCTGCACTGCCAAACAGGGTACTTACCAATCACCTGTGGCTATTTAAATTTAAATTTAATTAAATTAAAAACTTAGTCCCACAGTTTCACTTGCCATGTTTCATGTACTCCATAACTACACATGACTGATGGCTACCACAAAGTAATACAGATAAAGAACATTCCTATCATTGCAAAAAGGCCTATTGGACAGCACTGTGTTAGACATGTAAAGTTAACTGACTGAAGAGATAAAAGAAAATTGAAAGTTATGCCACAGTAAGTGTAAAGTCACCAAAAAGTCATCCCTCTTTCATTAGTTAAAATAAATCTCGGGCAAAATTACTTTACCGCATAGCCAAAACAACAAAAGATCTAAGGCTTAACGGGAAGGAATTCATATATAAGCCAGCTTTTCATTAAACTTGCACTGAAATAAAATATACATTAGAAAGTGCACAAATCATAACCTCCCAACTCAAATGAATTTTTTTAGGAAAAAACGCTCATATGCCAGCATCCATATCAAGTTAACAGAAATTACTCACACCCCCAGATGTGCCCTTCCTGCCACCTTCCAGCCTCTTCTCTACCCAAAGGCAATGACAGACCTGACTCCTAACACTGCAGATGAGCCACACCTGGCTTTGAACTTTATGTAAATGGAAATGTTGGTTCTCTTGTATCTGGCTTTTGCTTAACATTATGCTCATGAGATTCATACTTATTGATGAATGTAGTTACAGTTAGCTAATCCCCAAATGCTGTTAGTATTCTATTCTACGACTATACTACAATTTTTCCATTCCACTGTTAATAAACATTTGGGTGGTTTCTAGGTTTTGGCTGCTAGGAGATGTTGCTATGAATATTCTGGTACACATCCTTTGACAATATATGTGTATAATTCTATGGGTATGTCAAGCTTTAGTAGATATCACCAAACAGTTTTCAAAAGTGATCCTAAGAATTTTAATTTCCACCAACGGTGTTTGAGAGTTCCAACTGGTCCAGACTCCTGCCACTCCATTTTAGCTATTCTGGTAGGTGTATAGTGATACCACATTGTGGCTGTAATTTGCATGCCAATGATGACTAATAAACTGGGTGCCTTTTCATAGATCTTTTACTGACCTTTTGCATAGCCCCTTTTAGATAGCCTCTTTTGCCTATTTTTCTCTTAGGCTGTTTGCCTTTTTTTAAAAAAAAAAAAAAAGCTGATTTCCAGGAGTTGTTTATACATTCTGGATTCAAGGCCTTTGATTGGTACATGTATTGCAAATACCTTCTCCTACTCTGCAGCTTGTCTTTTCACTCTTAATAAACAGAAGGTTTTAGTTTTAATATAGTCCACTTAAATCTCTTCGTTTACATACGTGAGCATTTTTGTGTCCTGTTCAAGTCTTTGTCTACCCCAAGATCACAAAAATGTTTTCCCTATGTTATGTTCTAAAAGCTTTGTTTTGCCATTCACATCCATATCTAAAATACACTTTGAATTTACTTTTGTACATGATATAATGGGCCAAGATTCATTTTATTTTCTTGTGGATTAACACAGTACCATTTACACAAAAATGTTTTCCCTATGTTATGTTCTAAAAGCTTTGTTTTGCCATTCACATCCATATCTTAAATACACTTTGAATTTACTTTTGTACATGATGTAATGGGCCAAGATTCATTTTATTTTCTTGTGGATTAACACAGTACCATTTACTGAAAAGATCTCTGTTCTCCACAGAGCACCGCCTGTCCCCTCTGTCATAAATCAAGTGACCATATATGAGTGGGTCTGCTTGTTGGACCCTCTATTTTGTCTATTCTCATGCCAACAAAGCACTGTAACAATTACTATAGCTTTATAACAGGTCTGAATATTTTGTTCTTGGCTACTCTTTGCCCAATGCATCATTATATAAATTTTAGAATCAGCTTATTAATGCCACCCACCTTCACCCCACACTTTCTACCCCACATTCTTCCCCTCAAAAAAACCCCTGAAATTTATACTGGGGTTGCACTGAAATGATAGGTGGATAGGAGAACTGACATCTTTACAATAACACACTATGGTCATGGATTGGAAGATATAGTACCTCCCCACTGACTTAGATCTTCTTTAATTTTTCAATAACATTTTATAGTTTTTAATGTAGAAAACATTGCAGAAATCTACCTCTTTTGCTAAGATTTATTTCTAGGTATTTGATTTTGATTGCAATTGACATCTTTATTTAATTTTATTTTTTATTTTTTCTGGCATATGGAAATATGACTGATTTTTTATATTGACCTTTTATTCAATGATACTGCTAAATTCACTATTAATTCCAATAGATTATCCATCAATTCTTTTGGATTTTCTAGATAAATAATCAAGTATTCTGTGAATAATGATGGTTTTATTTCTCCTTTTCAATCCTTATGCTTTTTACTTCTTTTCCTCCGTGACTACACTGTGCAGTACAACACTGAACAGAAAAGGTGATAGTGAGCATCCTAGACTCCTCCCAGATCATACGGGCATGGCTAAAGTTTTTTAGCCATGTAATTTGCCCTCATCCCCCTACTTCCAGAAAAGATTCTTTATCAGGTAATCCTCACAACCACCTTATGATATGGATCACCATGTGGAGCACCAAGGAAAGGAAACCTCAGGAAAGCCTGTGAACAAGCCTGGAAAGGTAAGGAACGTACCCAAGGTCCAAGCCTGGGCAGTGCAGAGCTGGCCCGAAAGCCTGGGTTCTGAGGTGCTCTGCTCTGCTACCTCCCCAGACAGGGCAGAGGAGGGAGGGAACTGAGAGAACAGGAGTCTCAAGTGTTGACTGATGCCCAGATGGACAGAGATAGTAGTAACCAGGAGCTCAAGAAAAGGGCAGATCAGAGTCTACAGATCTGTAAGATACTAGAACCTAGATGGCTGCAAAAGCCCTGGGGAGCAGGTAAGCTTATTCAGAGAGAGGTAGTAGAACAAGAAGAGGACTCAGCAAGAAATCCAGGAAACATCAGCATTTAAGATACAGCTGACAAAAAAAATAACTAAACAAAAGTAGCAGAGGGCTGAAAGAAAAACCAGGAAAGAGATGGGGATCCAAGAAGGAACAGGAAGTACCAGCTGCTGCAGGCAGGCCAAGCAGAGCACCGGTGAAAGGGGCTTTTGGATTTGGAGAGGTAACTATTAACCCTAGGCAGTTTAGCCAACATTGCAATAGGAGGTGGAAGACAGTGGCAGGTTTAGACAGCCAGATAGGAATAACGCCTGCTACCAACAAGAAACACAGTACCAAAGCAGCAGAAAGGTCACAGACCTAATGAATTCTGAGAGACTGAACTTTAAAAACGTATCTTTCTAATATTTTTCTATCACTTCAATTAATTCTTCATTCTAATTCTCTTGTCTTATTGAATAAACTTCTGGAGCTAGTAGAAAATATTTGCCTGAAGGGCTTAAATGCTAAGAAGCCTTAATCTATATTTCAAGCAGTAAATGACTAAGCAGCCATCAACAATTTCTAAACATACGCGCACGCGCGCGTGCACACACACACACACACACACACACACACACACACACACACACAATAACTGCAAAAATATTTAGTTCCAGAGCTTATGCATTTTCTCAAAATGTTTTCCAAAAGACAACCATCCAAGCCAGTAATACAAATGAAATCATGACCATGGTATAACCTGAATGAAGACGTCTTTTCTTAAACAACAGAATTGATGCTTGGAAAGCCTGCCAAATATGCTCCTTAAAGATATGTGAGAGCAATTCTATAAATGCTGATTGATGATGCTGGGCTTCCAAAATGTAATTGAATCAAGATGTCAGTTGTCTTTATAAAATTAACTCCATATGAATGTTTAAGATTTCCAATTTATTAAACATAATACTAAATGCGTACTTGCAGCCTCCAGTGAACTGAGTTAAAAATTTACTTTCATTCTCTAATAAACCTCATGTAACAGGAGAGATTTGGTTCTGCAAGTGTAGAGAATAAAATTTTCCTAAACCTGTTTTGACAATAAGGCAAAGAAACATATTTGTCTCAAATATCAGGCAAAGACTGACACCCCTCACTGACTACAGGCATCAGGCATTAATTGAAAAACAGAGAGCAACTGCCCACAGCATCCTCACCTGCATCCTCCTCCTCCTCCAGACTGGCATGATCTAGTTCAACCTTCACTTCCGCTCCTCCAAGGATGGCCTGGAGACGCTTTTGTTTTGCAGTGATCTTCTTCAGCTGTTGTTCCTTGAACGGTAAATATTGAATACAGAAAACAGCAATGAACTGACATATTGTAAATGTAAAAGACAACATTACAAAATCTAAACCTTAATTAATAGTAAAATAAAAATAAAACAGAAATTCCATACACTACTATTACTAAAGAGAGCCTTATTTGATCAACTACCATTTCTCTA